TTCTATTATTAGTATGAGGTAGTACAAGTTATGATACAAACATACATTTTTAAGTTTGTAATTAAGTTTTTCTCTATTATTAATATGAAAGTAGTACAATTAATGTGCAAACATAATTATAATGTTTATAATAATGGCTTAATAGTTAAGGGATAATAAAATACCGTGGACCCGCGTTCGCGATACTAATCCGTTTCCTGAGAGCTCATTGTAAACCAAAAAATGTCGGAAAGCGAATCAATTTTTCCCCATAAGAACAATAATGGAAAATCAAATTAATCCGTGCAAGACACCCAAAAGTATGAAAAAAAAAACTTTTACACATGAAATATAAAGTTTATGCATAGAATAGTAATTACAATAACAATAAAATAACATTAATAACGAAAGAATAATTGACACTTACTTTAATGAAGATCTGGTGATGATTGAATGGGATGGGGAGGAGGGGAGAGTGTGGATGGTGTTAGCATTTAGAAGGGGAATCCCCCTATTATTTAGGGGATTGAGTAGCAGTCCTTTTCTCGGGGTTACTTCCCTTCTTCATTTAATGCCACTAGGACAGCTTGTGAGAGTCACTGGACTTCTGTCGCACCAACAACATAACTGGCAGCTCCCTATGCTAATCACACTATGTATGCCTCTAGATCTTAAATCCTTTCAAACCACCTTGATGGCCTTAATTTCACTCACATCACCACTAGTTGCAGGCATTTTTTTACCCAAATCGTCATGCAAACTGCCTAGGCCTTTTCACAAAATGATTGCTTGAGAAGGTGCTATTCCTGCTACTGCTTTTCATTTATCCACACCATAACAGTACTTCTCATCATTTTATAACACTTGCGGTTTGCTGTTTCGTAAATCACAGTTGCACCTTTTGAAGAACAGCTTCCTTGATTGCCGTTTTTCTTGCTTCCTATGTAGAGATGGTTGATTGATTTTTATATACACTGACAGCTCCGACACACGCACCTCCATTTCGTACTTGGCAATTATTCTCTTTCCTTATTTCAACGCCATTAGTACCCTTGGTCTCGAAGGGTTCGGCACTGGGAGCTTTTTGGGGCCCCATGGTGACTTATTTTGCAAAAAACAGGCACCAAAAACAGTGATAAATGGAATAATATATGGAACTGTACCGAATGTATCCTTAGTGCTGCGCACACTGGCTGAGCTTGTAAACACTGGCACGCACTGGGCAGTACAGGCCACACATGGAACGTTCTTGTTACGAACCACATTGCATACCGGGTTTGTATCGGGAAAGCGAGGCAAATTTTCTGCGATATAATGCATCGGTTACGGATTTATTGGATTACCGATAGCATCGCGAACCTGGGTTCCACAGTACTATTTGGGGAGTTGCTTTAAATTTTGGTTGGAGTTTAGCATAGTGTGGGTATGGTGTTATTGAGAGATGAGATTGTTTTGAGTATGGTCATAATTGATTTGTGGGCAGGGGACTCTTGCTGTTTCGGCTAGATGTTCCAGATCTTTGGGCCTTTTATGATGCATTGCATTTTGTGCTTTAGTGTGGAGACGGAATGAGGGATGTCAAAAAGTGTTTTGTGCCTCGTTGTTTATGAATGTTTGTTCTGTTGTAGCAGTCTAGGAGAAGTTTGAGTGGGCACAGTAATATAGTGTGTATATTTTGTATATTAATAAGTTCAAGCTTTGAAGAGTGGTGGGGTGTGTTGTCTGGCACTGTAGTTAGTGATCATCTGCACCTCCGCTTTTTGTTGGGTTATTAAAGGTGATTGGCCGTAGTAGGATCCCCGAGACAAATACCATAGGTGAAAGTAAGGGTATATTAGAGTGATATAAAGTATGGAGCACCTTTGGGGTTAATTATCTGGAAAAAAGGATATACATTTCTGTTTTGGAAACTTTCTTAGTTATATGCAGGATGTGGTCTGAAATTTAAGGATTTACAGTCAAGGTGGGGAACTAGAAATTTGCCTATCAGTGTGGTCTTGTATGGGTGAACCATTTATCCATATGTTTAGCTGGATATTTATGCTCTGTTTCCAACAAAAGCCATGAAGTAGGTTTTGCTGTATTGAGAGTAAGTTTGATTTTATATGTAGCTCGCTGTTTACCGTGTACTTAATATAATGTGTTTGGTTGAGTGGGGAGGGGAAGACGTTAAGTGGTGTGGTTATCCTTCCATTTCCAAGTTGTTGCATTCAAATTCAAATTCAAAGTTTATTTCTCTATAAGGATTACAATGCTGAGTTTACAGAATTTGGGTATTGTGTGGTTTACAATTGTAGGTAAAATTAATGATTACAGGTGTACCACTGAACCCTAGACATGGCTAGGCATTTCGGCAGACTTAGTTTAATTCTTAATTTAAAATATTACAAAATATGAGGTAAGTTGGTATTATGGCTAAGTTGGACTAAATACTAGTTTGTGAGGTTAGCAATGTGAATGCTTTTGTTTTGGCCACCAGTACATAGTTTTCAGTATTGGAGTATCTATAGGATTAATTATTTAGGGATTGAGATTAATATTTCTGTTTATGATCAAATGGAGTGAGCGAGTGTAAAGTGTGAACCACCAGGTGGTATTCGTTGTAGTTTGTAGTTAGTTGACGGGGTGTATCAGGGAGTTAAGATGTTTTCTACTGGTAGTTTGGAAGGAGATGAATGTGTCTGCACTTCTTGTGTTCTCAGGTAGGGTGTTCCAGATTTTAGGGCCTTTTGAACATACATTGATGTTTGTAAAGGTTTAGTCGGACACGGGGAATGTCGTAGAGAGTTTGTGTCTGGTTCGTTATGCTGTGGTTCTGTCAAAACTATCAATGAAAGCGTTTTAGGTCAAGGTTGATATTGAGTTTAAGGTCCTGTAGATGTAGTTTGCATAGTAGGTAAGTGTGGTATGTACTGAACTGAGTGGGGGGGGGGTGTTGCCAGGGATGGGATTTTAGTGATTATTCTTACTTGCAGCTTTTTGTTGGGTTTTATTGCTTGAGGTGTGTTGCTGCAGTTTGATCCAAGCCACCAAATAGCATAGGTGAGGTTATGGATAATAAGTGAGTGGTATAGTGTGAGAGGGCATTTTGCGGCACGTAGTATCGTATCTTGGAGGGATCCCAAACCGTTTTGGGATACTTTTTTGGTTATGTGTTGGATATGGGAATGCTGAAATTCAGGTTGTTGTCAGGTATAGGCCTAGGAATTTGACCCTCATTATGTCTGGTAATTAGAGTGTTTGTCGATTTAAGTTAATTTGTGCATCTCTGACTCTGCTACCAAAAAATAAATATAGTAGGTTTTTGTCAGTGTTAAGCGTAAGTTTATTGGCCGTCATCCAAGTCGATATTTTGCTCACGCCCCTCATTAACAATGGTGTTGAGGGTGGCAAGAATTAGTGGTGAGAGATGACAATTAAAGTGTGTCGTCAGCAAAGAGAATGGGTTTCAGGTGTTGGGATACGTTTGGAAGTTTCATTGATGTATATGAGGAAGAGCAGGGACAAATGGGACAACTTCCCTGACGGAAATCCAGGAATCAAGTGGCCGTTGTTGTTGATGCTGTGTCTTTAATGGTGAACATACTGATACCTATTAGTAGGTAAGATTTGAAATAAGCAAGCGCATGGCCTCTATCTATACCGTTAATGGTCAATGTTTGTGGACGTCGGATTTGTGATCTACTGTGTCAAAAAGCTTTTCTTAGGTCAATAAAAATTCCTAGTGGATATTCCTATTTCTCAATGCGGTGTAAGCAGATCTAGCATGGGGGATTTTTATGATTGCCTCATTAGTGCTTTTATTTTTCCTGAATCCAAATTGGCAGGGGTTGAGTATGTTTCGTGCCGTTATAAATGAATATAGTCTCCTGTGCACGAGTTTCTCAAAGATTTTGGATAGCAATGGTAAGTTTGATATTGGCCTATAGTTGTTTAAGTCTGTAGGGTCACCACCTTTATGTATTGGTGTAACCCTTGCCATCTTGAGTAGTTTTGGGAAGGTGCTAGTTTCTAGTGACTTGTTAAAAAGTAATGAAATAGCATGCGAAAGGACATGGGCCGCTCACTTGTGCAGTAATGGTAGGACATGAGACAGATTCCCCGAGTTATTTTTAAGTGACTTTATAATCTCGGTGACTTCCGTGGGCTCAGTTGGTACAAGATAGAAGGAATTTGGGAAATTCCCATCTAGGTAGTCCCCGGCATGGGCATTGGTATGTGGGATTTTATTGGCGAGATTAGATCCTATGGTTGAGAAGAAGTCGTTTATCTTGTTAGCTGTGTCAGTGGGATGTAGTGGTGTTTCGTTAGGTTTAGTTAGGACAATATTCTTGTTTTTTTTTCAGTTTGTGGGTCCCTAGAATCTGAGAGTGTTTTCCAGGTCTTTTCTATATCTCCTCTAGTGTCTGTGAATCTACTGGAGTAGTATAGTTGTTGCATGGACCTTACAGACTTCCATTTCCCATAAATATAATAATCAGAGATAAAAATGGGGGAAGCGGTATGCATGTACGCAATGTGTGCATACTACTCATTTTCCAGTTTTTTTATATTCAAATTCTGTATTAACCCTTAAACTGTCCAAACGTAGATCTACGTTTTTTCAAAATTTGAAAGTACTTAAAAAAAGTAGATCATCATTTCTATTTTTACATTTGAAAACGTGTAAAAAAACTTTGATCTATTTTTTTTTTATATTTGAAAATAAGTAAAAAAAAGGGAAAACTACTTTTGGAGCACTACGCATGTGAACATAGATCTGCTTGGACAGTTTAAGGGTTAATGAAGTCTATTAATTGTCCCTTGTCAGTTTTCTACCAATCAGCTATCGTGTGATTTTGTTTTATATTTCGTAAAAAATGACAAGTTTATACTGTATTTCATGTTTGTATAACTAGTGATGGAACTAGGGGGAAGGGATATGTATACAGGTTCAGTATGTAGCTCTGTACCTATTTCTCATTTTTTCAAACATGTACAACTAAACAGCCATTTCCCCTACTGAAAATAATACATGTACTATGTTAATAAGTCAAACTGTTTACAGTGCACAGACACAAATGAAGGCACGTCTGGCAGGAGCAGTAAAGGGTCACTCACTCTTAAAAAAGAAAGCTGAGGCTCTCCAATTCCGTTTCAGACAGATCCTTCATAAAATTATTGAGGTAAAGTATTGTATATTTTCTTCAATAAGTTGATATGCAAGGAAATGCATTTAGTATTTAATGTTTATAGGACAAAACTTTTTCTTTTCAGGTTACTAAACATTTCTCTATAAATATACATTATGGTATAAGAGGTTTACATGAGAGAAAGTCATTCATTAGCATTATAAGAATGTTATACTATTAGAAGTGGAAAATGTGCAAGTCGCCTTAAACCTACTGCCTGTGGCCTATGTTTGCTTAGCAGTAAATAGATACCTAGGAGTTAGTCAGATGTTGTGGTTTGCATTCTAAGGAAAAAGAAGTGAAAATTTTTGAAGGAAATGAGCTTCACTCTTTGACTTTCCTGGGTTATTCTTGGTTAATAATATGGAGAATCTTTATCTATGTCTTGATCCTTGTTAGGCTGCTAAATACGTTACTTGAAAACTTCCTGATTTAATGCACTTAAATCTAGTTGACCTATATAAGCTAGTAATTTATTAGCTTGTTAAGCAATAAATTATTTTGATTAAGTTAAACTTTTATTTTAATACTTTTTACATTGAACACTAGTACAGTATTTTTATGACTGTCCATTTCATCTAAAAGCAGCTTTATACAAATGCTGCTGCTTAAGCACACTCCTGTTTTAATTTTACATTCTTTGCAGTTTTGTAGAACCTGATGACAAAGTTGATATTTTTGTACATTTGATGTACATACATTCAGTTTCTGGGTTTCTTGGACAGTTATTTCACTTCATCTCGGTCTTTCAGCTACATCTATATTTCATGAGATTACAAATGATAATATTTTAAAATACATTATTTTATGTTACTAGGCAAAGATCCTGATGGGAGATGTCATGAAGGATGCTGCATTTTCACTGGCAGAAGCAAAATTTGCATCAGGTATTGATTTTAACCAGAGTGTGATCCAGAATGTGATCAAGGCCCGTATTAAGACCAGAAGTAAATTGGACAATATTGCTGGTAAGGAATCTGCTTATATTACACAGTTACTTTGATACCCTTCTTCCCATGAATTTGTAAAGAAATATAACTTGCCAAGGAATGATTGATAATGAAATAGTGTATAACTAATAGCGTGGAAACTCGTGAGAAGGATCAAGGTATCAGCAATAAGGGATGTTATTACTCAGAATACTAAACAATAATGAAACTATAGTTTGTTAAAGTAGCAATAAGTTGCTAGCATCTCATGATTGACAAGTGTTTGCATTTTTATTTGTTTCATATTCTCTTGAAAAAATTATAACAATACAGAGCATGACACACAAACATATATACAAACTAACCAATCAACATGAGATGCTGGATGACTCTTATCTAAAGCTGATGAGGTTTTTTTTTTTTTTTTTTTTTCAACAAGTCGGCCGTCTCCCACCGAGGCAGGGTGACCCAAAAAAGAAAGAAAATCCCCAAAAAGAAAATACTTTCATCATCA